AAAAGAACAGGCATATGCATTCAAACCAAGAGCAGACTAATCACTTTTGACAGTTATTAATATCTATATAACAAAAAACACACTCTCTTTGTTGGGTAGATAAGGATACATTTGGTATTTTCTATGCCAAAAGTCTGATGTTAATTAAAATAGTAAGTCACTTACTAGTAAGACTTCTAGCCTATTTTAATTTTATTGCACACTGATAATTCAATACTGAACAGTTCTATTCTTGCTGGGTTTTATCTTCAATTGTGTGAGATAAAAATCACAAACACAACTTTTAGAACTGCAGTCCAATGAATACATCAGGTGTTGATATTTCTACTATCACCCCCTTGTGAAAGAATATTGATTATTCCAAAGTGAAATGTGGGGGGAAATTACAAAATTTCACAAAAATTAGAGATTAAGTATCTCTAGGTGGTTTCAGTTCATAAACACTACATCTTAAAAACAACACTTGGCAGACTATTAACTACATCTGTGAAATGGATGAGCATTTTCAGTTTTCTGAAAAGCAAAAGAAAGAATCAAGTAACTGTTGCTCAAAGAAAAGAGAACATGCATTTAGTGCACATGCAAAAAAACTAATATACAACTGAACATTGAATAAGGTTACAGTGTTTAGTCAGCAAAACACCCCAAACTAATTCTAGATGATTACTGAAAGTGGGAACAGGGCTCCATTCTTTTGTATAATTATTTTTCAGCAATAGAAAGGCAGTAACACTAGTATTTTTAACTACTATACATGACTGAATGTTCTTTGAAAATAGCCAGCAGAAAGCAAGCAATACCCTTATATAAGTCTATTAAATAAATTCTGAAAATACCCCCAGGTCAATGCCATATCCAAAGTCAGCTAGAAGCCCAACTATAAATACAGTTCAGGTCTGCTTTTCAGACTCAAGATGACAGTTAGGAGTCATGCTGCAAACCCCTTGTTTACTTTCAGCGTGTAAGGGCTGAATTTTGCCATTCTCAGACCCTCGTATTTTACAATCGGATTCCTTTGAGAAACTCAGTCACTTGGAATTCTTCAACAGACTATGAAAGCAAGCTGATGGGTGCTATAACTTCCTGTTACATACTGCAGGCTAGCTTACTTAGCATTCCTTCTGTGCAAGCAGTCCTCTCATCTTCATGAGGGCAGGAAGAGGTAGGCATGGGGGATTACTAATCCGATTCTCAAAACATTCATCAATCTCAGATTTTTAACGGATGAGTGTTCTAAAGGTCTGAAGAAAATCAGAACTGAAGACATGAATGGATTAGCTGTTTCCCTCAAAACTAACATATACAACAACAGCACAGAAGGCCAATATCACATTTGTTTCTACAAATCTGTGCCAAGCAACCAAGTCAAAAAAGGCATTATACAATACCCTCCTAGTGCTAGAAATTTTGCTCCTGGCATAGCTGAGGAGCCCCTCAGCCTTAGTCTCCTTTAATTCCCCATTGACCCAAAATTAAATACCCTTTAGAAGCAACTCTGTCTCACCACATACAAACTGGACAAAACCTAAAAGCTCTTTATATGTGTATGTTGTATGTGCATGCATAAAAAAAAAAAATCAAAAAATCCTAGGTTCGGATGTTGTAGAACAATATTTTCAGAAACAATTTTTGCTGCATGAGACTTTCAGTAGACTGACTTCCAGAAAACCGAGATGTTTTAAGTCAGTTCAAAATATTTGCATGCACTTTTAAAAAATCAACTTCAGACAATCTAAAATTAATCCCTGTCACTAACTGTATCCTAACCTGTTCACACCCAACATGCTTTTACTAGTGCCTGGAGATCATGGAGAAGAAAAAGAAACTGAATCACTCCTAAATTAGAGTCCTCCTGTTTCAACATTACAGATCAAAAAGAGACAATGTATTTACCTCTTAAGTACAAGGGTAACCTCCTAAGCGCATCCCACTGCAATAACTTCCTGAAGTAGCTTACTATTCGCTGGTACATTAATGTTAATCTGAACTCATTCATGGCTTGACTTCGTGAATGAAGATTTGGGAAGCGCTTTACCCACGCTTACTACAAGTGTTCTGATGACTAAAAAGGCCAATGTGGGATAGGCAAATCCTGCTGCAAAAAGCAGTGAAAGGTCTCCCTGGGTGGTATAGGTGGGCCATGATTCTTTACACACTGTCTTTTCTCCTCGAGACTAATCCTGCGTGTGTTCTCAAAGGAGACAACAGCGTTATGTACGGTATGTCTCCAAGTCTCCCAACTGGAGGCCAAGGTGGACCACTGATGGTAGCCAAGGCTAAGGTATTGTTTCAGGGAGTCCTTATATCTCCTCTTTGGGGCACTTGTATTGCTGCAACCGGTGGTGAGCTCACCGTAAAACAGTCTTAGGGAGGCGGTGATTCTCTATCTTAGAGATGTGCCCTTCACAGCACAGCTGTGATTTCAGCAATATGGCCTCGATACTGGTGACCCCTGCCTGTTCGAGGACAGAAACATTTGACACACAGTCTGTCCAATGGATGTTTAGAATTGTACGGAGGCAGCGCTGATGAAAACCCAAGACTGTTAGCTGATATTCAAGGATCACCTACTGCAAGCTCAGGAGTGTTGCATCCCAACCAGAAGGAAGTGCAGCAAGAGGGCCAGGAGACCTTGGATGGATAAGGAGCTACTGAGGAAACTTAGAAAAAAGAGGCTTATAAAAGGTGGAAGCAAGGAGAGGCGACCTGAGAAGAATACAGGGATGTTATCCGGGAAGCTAGGGACCAGGTTAGGAAAGCTAAGGCCCACTTAGAATTAAACTTGGCTAGGGATGTTAAGGATAATAGGAAGGAATTCTACAGGTACATAGCAAATAAAAGACAGACTAAGGACAACATAGGCCCCCTATCCGGAAGCTATCAGGAGAACTGGCTACCCTGGATTTGGAAAAGGCTGAGGTTATCAATGACTTCTTTGTCTCAGTCTTCACTGGCAAAGGCTCTGACCGCACCACCCAAGTCTTGGAAGGCAGATGCAGGGACTGTGAGAATGAAAACCCTAGGCCCACTGTAGGAGAGGGTCTGGTCTGAGACCATCTTAAAAACCTGAACATACACAAGTCCATGGGACCTGATGAAATCCATCTGCGGGTCCTGAAGGAGCCGGCAAAGGAAGTTGCTAAGCCGCTGGCCATCATATCTGAAAAATCATGGCAGTCAGGTGAAGTTCCCAATGACTGGAAAAAGGGAAATATAACCCCATTTCCAAGAAGTGGAAAATGGATGACCCTGGGGAAAAAAGGACCAGTCAGTCTCACCTCTGTGCCTGGCAAAATCTTAGAGCAGATTCTCCTTTAAGGCATGCTAAGAAACATTAAAGCACATGTTAATCAACAAGGTGATTGGTGACAGCTGGCATGACTTCACTAAGGGGAAATCCTGCCTGACCAATTTGGTGGTCTTCTACAATGGGGCTACAGAACTGATGGACAGGGTTAGAGTAGTTGATGTCATCTACCTGGACTTGTGCAAAGCATTTGACACTGTCCCACACGACATCCTTGTCTCTAAATTGGAGAGACATCAATTTGATGGATGGACCACTCGGTGGATAAAGAACTGGCTGGATGGCCGCACGCAAAGAGTTGTGCTCAATGGTTAAGTGTCCCGATGGAGACCAGTAATGACTGGTGTCCCTCAGGAGTCGGTGTTGGGACCGAACTTGTTTAACATCTTCGTCAGTGATATGGACAGTGGGATTGAGTGTACCCTCAGCAAGTTTGACGATGACACCAAGCTGTGTGGTTCAGTTAACAGGCTGGAGGGAAGGAATGCCATCTAGAGGGACGTTGACATGCATCTGAGGTGGGCTGATCCCAGCCATATGAAGTTTAACCATGCCAAGTGCAAGGTCCTACACCTGGGTTTGGGCAATCCCAGGCACAGCTACAGGCTGGGCAGAGAAGAGATTCAGAGCAGCCCTGAGGAGAAGGACTTGGGGGTGTTGGTTGATGAGAAACTTTACATTAGCCAGCTGTATGCACTCGCAGCCCAGAAAGCCAACTGTATCCTGGACTGCATCAAAAGGAGCTTGACCAGAAGGTCAAAGGAGGTGATCCTGCCCCTCTGCTCTTGTGAGACCTCACTCGGAGTATTGTGTACAGTTCTGGTGTTGTCAACATAAAAATCATAGAATCATAGAATCATGACATGGAACTCTTGGAACAAGTCCAGAGGAGGGCCACGAGGATGATCAGGGTGCTGGAGCACCTCCCGTATGAAGATAGGCTGAGAAAGTTGGGGCTGTTCAGCCTGGAGAAGAGAAGGCTGCATGGAGACCTCATAGCAGCCTTCCAGTATCTGAAGGGGGCCTATAGGGATGCTGGGGAGGGACTCTTCATTAGGGACTGTAGTGACAGGACAAGGGGTAACGGGTTAAAATTTAAACAATGGAAATTTAGATTGGATATAAGGAAGACATTCTTTCCTGTTAGGTTGGTGAGGCACTGGAATGGGTTGCCCAGGGAGGTTGTGAATGCTCCATCCCTGGCAGTGTTCAAGGTCAGGTTGGACAAAGCCTTGCATGGCATGGTTTATTGTGAGGCGTCTCTGTGCATGGCAGGGGGTTTGGAACTTGACGATCTTAAGGTCCTTTCCAAACCTTACTATTCTATGATTCTATGGTTCTAAAAAATTGTACCAGTTGATTTTATATTCCAGAGAAGTCATTTACTTTCCTGAAACAGTTTAACAATAGGAATCCATTTAGGTTGCATGTGTTAAAGGATTAAAAATAATAAGTTACACCGCTACAATGAAGGATAATTTTTACAAGTAATTCAAATTAGCTGTTCTGCCTTCAAAGTGAAACAACCAACCAACTCACTGAAATTGTTTCACTCCTATCCGATGCTTGCTGTGCTTCCTAACAGTTCCAGGTTGGACCTGTGACATGACTTCAAAAGCTTCCAGTTCAATCTTAGTTCACTATGCCACCACATTTACTCTGCTCAAGTAGCCTTATAGTTAGATGCTCATACCTTCAGAGTTCAGTGTAATAAGGGTGACGTTGTTCCCAATACTGTGGCTTCCTATTTGTCCACTCTTGGAAACTGAGTCACTGGCCTCAGAGCCACTCTCTCCATCTCCATTGTGACTGTCCTCATACCCAGGAACTTTCACAACTATGGTGTTCTGCCTACGTCCAGGAACAGCACTAGGGGAGAATACAATCCTTGATTAGGAATAGTATCATCATAAGGAAATTGAAAACAGACAAAATTAAATGTATTACAAATGCATACTACTTTAAACAAGCCTTTTCCTGTTCTTAACTCAAGGCTATCCAGCAAAATAAAATGGAAAGAAAACAGCAGAAATGAAATTTTAGATGTACTTTCAAAATTTGTATTAACGAAAAAGTCTAGGCCCAATGTGCAAAACAAGAAAAGACATTTAAATCTTTTATAAAATTATTTAAGAACATTTTCCTACCCAATATCTCCAGTTCCACTTAATTTAAAATTTGCTTTAGACAGTATAAATTCTAACAAGCCTTCCTGGGTGGGTGCATATTCCTTCTTCAATTGGTTAAATCATAGAATAGTTAGGGTTGGAAAGGACCTTAAGATCACCTAGTTCCAACACACCTACCATGGGCAGGGACACCTCACACTAAACCATGTCACCCAAGGCTCTGTCCAGCCTGGCCTTGAACACCACCAGGGATGGAGCATTCACAACCTCCCTGGGCAATCCATTCCACTGCCTTACCATCCTTACACTAAAGAACTTCCACCTTATGTCCGATCTAAGCTTCCCCTGTTTAAGTTTGAACCTGTTACTCCTTGTCCTATCACTACAGTCCCTAATGAAGAGTCCCTCCCCAGCATCCTTATAGGCCCCCTTCAGATACTGGAAGGCTGCTAGGAGGTCTCCACACCATCTTCTCTTATCCAGGCTGAACAGCCGCAACTTTCTCAGCCCGTCTTCATACAGGAGGTGCTCCAGTTCCCTGATCATCCTCGTGGCCTTTCTCTGGAGGAGGATCTTGGCACATTCCCAAGTGACTGTGCATCTGTGTAAAATATATGTAGCTGTGGACCCTCAACTAACACTGAACTAATCCCACATCTGCCAAGATATTCTCACCCCATCAAGAATGAAGCATTGCTCTACACCTTGCCTGCTCATACAAGGTCTCTGTAGGCAGAACTGTCAGCCTCATAAAATATTCAATTACCAGTTGCATATTCCCCCCCTCCCCAACTATTACCAAAACTTTCCTCATTTCGCACTTGAAATTGCTGCAGAGACTGATATTGACCTGTCAAATGAGAGAATGAAAGGGAAGGATTCCCATAACCGCTACTAACTTGCTAAGAATATTTTCCAGAGAATCCGCTGCTCTGCTTAGTGGCTCTTCCTGCCCAACCATCTTGGCTACAATTGAATTCTGCCGGTCATTGTTCAGTACTACTGCTGTCTGAGGGACAACACTACAAGACAAAAACCAGAGAGGAAAATGGAATGTAAAGGAACAGACCTTATACATAATACATTGACACAGTCTTATGGTTTAAACAGTCTACTTGGAAACAGAGACTTCCTCTAAGCCTTGCTCTTTCTCCCAGCAACACAGTTCTGTATCAAATGCTAACACTAGCATCATATCTGAAATCCATACCATTTCAAGTACTTGGATGGATGGCTTCAATGGAATTACATAGAAATCTACAACCCCTGGCAAAGCAATAAGGAATTCATCAACTCAAGATACACAGGAAGTATGCAAAAATCACTGCTCCAAAGAGCCACCAGTTTCTTGTTTTGAACCATCTGAGTGCAAGCATTTTCAGAGATACTAAAATATCTTACATAGTAAAGCACCATTTTTAGTAGGAAAATTCCTTAAAAAAAAAATGTAAAAGTATTTATTACAAAATGGGATTATGAGCTTAGTTAAAAAGCATATAGTCTTACAGGGCTGGGGGCTTGTGGAGGGCAGGGAGATAAGAGTGGTACCAGGTGCATCAGAACAGAACAGGGACAGACTGCAGCTTTAAATAATGACAAGAATTAACTATTTCTTGTGTGCATTTCATATACACAGAAAGCACAAACAACAGAAAAACGTTCAGCATGTGAGAAACCAGAAAGCCTTCACTAGCACTTATAACATAGAAGGAAATAACTAGCACTGCATAGAAAAAGCACACTAAGCCTACATTAGAATACAAAAGTAAATATGAAGCAAATAATTGTCTCCAGCATGCAACTCATAATTTGATTTGGTTTCAGAGATAAACAACATTATTCCCGCACCATCAATATTCTAATGCCTGGTTTATAACATAGGACTCAATTTGTGAGGCCAGGTCTACTGGAGGCTGGTGGAGCTGGTATGCCAAAGAAGGGGAAGCACTGCTTTGGTAAAGACTTGCCAGGCTGGACAAAGCAGCTTTAAACTAGATGAGTTGGGGGAGGGGAGTATCAATCCATCCAAACACTCCCAGTCAGTTACCAGCACCTGTAATAAGTACTTGGAGCAATGTAGAGGTATTTCAGCCGCTCCAGCCAATGAATCGGTTTTATTTGGAGCTCAGCTCAGATGCCTCTATACAAACACCCATTGCATGGGGAATAAAAAAAGAGGAATTAGGTGTGTGCATGGCTACAGGGATATGATATCACTGGCATCACAGAAACATGGTGAGATGGCTCCTATGACTAGAGTGTTGGAAAAGAAGGTTATAGGCTCTTCAGAAAAGACAGACCATGCAGACGGGGAGGGGGAGTAACTATGTCAGTGATAGACTGGAGAGTATAGAATTCTGGGGATGGGTAATTAGGCAACAGTTTGTGGGTCAGGGTCAAAGGGAGAACAGCGATGAGGAACATTACTGCGGGGATCTGTTACAGGCCACTTCATCAGGAGGACTCTGTAGATAAAGCACTATAGACAGGGGCAGCCTCACACTCACAGGCCCTTATCCTCATGGGGGACTTCAACCACCCTGATATCTGTTGGAGGGACAGTACGGCCAAGCACAAGCAATCCAAAAGGTTCCTCGACTGAGTGGAAGACAACTTCCTCTTGCAAATAACAGAGGAGCCAAAGAGGAGAGGTGCCATGCTTGACCTCGTGCTCACTAACAGGGAAGGGCTTGCTGGAAACGTGATGCTCCAGGGCAGCCTTGGTTGCAACTATCATGAGATGGTCGAATTTGAGATGCTCAGGTCAGTGAGAAGAGTGTGCAGCAAGCTCAGTGCCCTGGACTTCAAGAGAGCAGACTTTGGCCTCTTCAGGAACCTGCTTAGTAAGATTCCATGGGGTATAGACCTAGAGGGCAGGGAAGCCCAAGACTGTTGGTTGATATTCAAGGATCACCTACTCGGGAGTGTTGCATCCCAACTAGAAGGATGTGCATCAGGAGGGCCAGGAGACCTCCTTGGATAAATAAGAAGCTGCTGAGGAAAATTCAAAGGAAAAAAGAGGCTTATAAAAGGTGGAAGCAAGGAGAGACAGCCTGGGAAGAATATAGGGATATTGTCCAGGGAAGCTAGGAATCAGGTCAGAAAAGCTAAGGCCCAGTTAGAATTAAATCTGGCAAGGGATGCGAAAGAACCAGGAAGGGTTTCTATAGGTATGTGCCAAACAAAAAACAGACTAGGGATAACATGACCCTCTCTGGAAACTATCAGGAGAACTGGATACCCTGGATTTGGATAAGGCTGAGGTTCTCATAGAAACATAGAACAGTTAGGGTTGGAAAGGACTTTAAGATCATCAAGTTCCAACTCCCCTACCATGGGCAGGGACATCTCACACTAAACCATGTCACCCAAATCTTTGCCCAACCTGGCCTTGAACACCGCCAGGGATGGAACATTCACAACTTCCCTAGGCAACCCATTCCAGTGCCTCACCACCCTCACAGTAAAGAGCTTCCTCCCAATATCCAATCTAAACTTCCCCTGTTTAAGTTCTAACCTGTTACCTCTTGTCCTATCACTGCATTTGGTATTCTTACTGCTATGAAGGACCAGAATCAGTCTCAAGATGCTAAGGCTGACAAGTTCTTCTGACAAATTAGGAAACTTTGAAAGTATTTTCACATGTTTTTCTGGGAATCAAACATGTCAAGATTAGGGTGTGTGGGGTTTTGTGCTCCCCCCCCCCCATACCACAGCTAAAGAAACTATCACTACACAGGATAAAGAAAGAGGGGCTGACAATTATTCAAATGATTTCTTCGATTAGTGCAATTGCATAAACTGAATTTTTGAATGCATACAGAACTATAATTTTCACATCAACATGTCTACAACAGCTCAAGAAGGTATCTGGATTTTTCATCTATCCACTTATATAATTCAAGTCACAACTGCTCTTCAAGTCTAAAACACTGTTCATCTCTAGCTGGTATTATAATGTGATAATAGCCAACTTTAAGAAAGCCATATAAAACATACTGAACACGTTCAACTTCAAAATGAGAATGTGCAGGTTTGTGTGTGTGCGTGCATATGAATGCACAGGTAACAAACCTTTATCAATAGCTTTGCAGTAAGTATTTTAAGAAAAAAAAAAATTGATCAGGGAAACCCCTAAAAAACCAATGGGAGATAGAACTGAAAAAAGAAGCCTCAAAAGGCACTGAAATTAAAAGCACTGTGAGCCAATCAATGCAATTATGAATGTGCAAATTATGACTCCCTTAGCCAAACTTCTACTTTACCAGAAACCTTTTATCCAAATATCAAGTTTTTGCTTATATTTGTTAAAAAAAAACAACTGAGATTCTAAAAAAATTTTTTAAAATCATAAAAGGGGCAAAATCCTCCAAAGTCATGAAGTTTTAATCATGATCTTTAACTCTTGCTAATATTGATTTTGTTCCCTAATTGTGAGTATGCCCAGAATTAACATGGTAAAAATTAATTCAGCAAGCTTGCCGATGACACCAAGCTCTGTGGTTCGGTTGATACGCTGGAGGGAAGGAATGCCATCCAGAGGGACCTTGACACACTTGTGAGGTGGGCTGATGCCAACCTCGTGAAGTTTAACCATGCCAAGTGCAAGGTCCTACACCTGGGTCAGAGCAATCCCAGACACAGCTACAGGCTGGGCAGAGAAGAGATTCAGAGCAGCCCTGTGGAGAAGGACTTGGGGGTGCTGGTCAATGAGAAAATGAACATGAGCCGGCAGTGTGCACTTGCAGCCCAGAAAGCCAACCATATCCTGGGCTGCATCAAAAGGAGCGTGACCAGCAGGTCGAAGGAGGTAATCCTGCCCCTTTATTCTGCTCTCGTGAGACCTCACTTGGAGTATTGTGTGCAGTTCTGGTGTCCTCAACATAAAAAGGACATGGATCTGTTGGAACAAGTCCAGAGGAGGGCCATGAGAATGATCAGGGGACTGGAGCACCTCCCATATGAAGATCGGCTGAGAAAGTTGGGACTGTTCAGCCTGGAGAAGAGAAGGCTGCGTGGAGACCTCATAGCAGCCTTCCAGTATCTGAAGGTGGGCATTTAGGGATGCTGGGGAGGGACTCTTCATTAGGGACTGTAGTGATAGGACAAGGGGTAATGGGTTAAAACTGAAACAGGGGAAGTTTAGATTGGATATAAGGAGGAAATTCTTTCCTGTTATTGTAGTGAGGCACTGGAACAGGTTGCCCAGAGAGGTTGTGAATGCTTCATCCCTGGCAGTGTTCAAGGCTAGGTTGGACGAGGCCTTGGGTAAAATGGTTTAGAGTGAGGTGTCCCTGCCCATGACAGGGGGGTTGGAACTTAATGATCTTAAGGTCCTTTCCAACCCTAACTATTCTATGATTCTATGATTCTAATCACAGACAGTTGTGGCATTTTCCTTCAACCCACTCCATACCCAGACATAAACAGACTGGACTTACATGAAAGAGCTATTCACACCAGGACAACATAATCGTCCTCAATCCTTCATGAAACAAACCCATTAATTTTAAACAGAACAGAAATGTTAAACGGAGCCTACAGACATGACACTTGAACTGGTAATTTAAAATAAGTGTTTGCACACAGCACCATTGACTTATGACAGAAAGTAACTGAGAAAGGTTATTTATTGATGCCCAAGGGTCCAGTCCAAAACAATGATGAAAGTTCATTTGTGGTTTTGTCAGCAGCTCCCAAGCTTGAAGTTTTGCACTGAAGACACTGCTGCATGAGGCCCCCAAAAAATACTCTACCACAAAACATACTGAAGTATAAATAAACCTGGCTTGCTTATAGAAAGCAGTAAGAATTTCTGAAAACCTGACGAACTCCAAAGCTGCTCAAATAAAACCTTTATAATACGTTCTGATTAGCACCCCAAGTCACTGACATCTTTTGCTGAGCTGTCCTGGGAAATGGATCTGCTTCTAGGAAAATATTTTTTCAGGCCTGAAGTTCAATGCATGAGCTCAGGCTCACAGCAGGCAGAGTAATGTACCTGCAACTTGAATATAAACCA